AGCAAAGTAATTCCCCCCAAAATGACCTAACTTCTTGGAGTACAAATTATCTCAAAAGAGGGGGGGATTTTTTAAGAAAATATGCACCCCTGTGGGTTTTCTTACTTAGATATTTCCTCTTTCTCCCAACAATCTCCATTACAATATTTCCTATTTAAAATTAACACTTGTAAACTGTTGCTTTGTCCATGACTCCCATTAAATATTTTTTTTTTTTGAATTTGTGTCACATAATTAAAAAATTTCTAATATTAATGTCACAATTAAAGTTATTTTTTATTTTAATCGTTTGAATTTTTTGTTTCATTTTGAAAACTTATTTAAAATAAATTTGATAGTTCTTTGTGCATTATATATAATTTGTTGGTTTAAACAAAATCGCTTAATTCTCGATAACTAAATTTAATGCACCAAATATGTATGAATTTCAATAGCAGAAAATTAAAATAGGAATTGGTGTAGTTCATTTTATATGCTCAATATTCCTAAGGATGCAAAAAAAGACTGTAAAAGCTTAAGAAAAATCGTAAAAAATCTTTGATAAAAAACTGTTATAAATCATAACAAGGAAAGATTCAAAAAAGTCAGCCTTATAGATTGTTACAAGTAAAATTTGTTTGTTATCAATTAATAATCTGTATTCTCCCATAATACTCAACATCCTTATAATCTTAGTGTCCTTGGAGCCATCGCAACATAAACATTTAAACATATAAACATACAAACATGAGTAAACCTGTATTTTTATGTTTAGATGTATCAAATAATGGAATAAAGGAAACAGTAGAGAATAAACCTGTATTTGATCCTGACTTTCACACTGAGCTAATTATCAAAGATGAATTCGAGGATTTAGATTCAGGTAATTTACAATTAGGGAAAGAATAATATTAAAAATAATTGCCTCTTTAATTTGTGGCAAACTTTTCAACCTTTTTGATACTTTTTCCTCGTAAACTATTTTTTCCCCCCTAAATATTATCAATCTTCCATAATTCAGCAAAGTTATTCCCCCCAAAATGAGTACAAATTATCTTAAAAGAGGGGGGATTTTTTAAGAAAATATACACCCCTGTGGGTTTTCTTACTTAGATATTTCCTCTTTCTGCCAACACTCTCTATTACGCTATTTCCTATTTAAAATTAACACTTGTAAACTGTTGCTTTGTCCATATATCATTCTTCTATTATGCATTCTAGATAATGTCAAAGATGTCTGCTTTGTATTGGGAAACTTTTAGGCCCTTTTTCCCTGTTTGTATTGAACTTTGAAAGAAAGGACAGAGATGGCTAGAAGTACCTCTAAATCAATTAAGGAAAACTTTTATAACATTCCTTTGAGATCGCAAATTTAATATTCATAATTTATGTAATTTTTACACAAACAAACTTTATAAGTAAAAATAGTTTATGTTTATTATCCAGAAGAAAACCTGGGAAATGAAATGAATTTTACTTTTAATGAATTTATTATTTTGAATTCAAAATTATACAGGTAATTACAAAAAAAATATTGTAAAATCAAAATACAAATCATTTGCAATGCAAGAGGTATAAAAATACGATCAAAACCAACCTACAACTGTGGTTGTTTTCTTTTGAGATGAAACATAAGATGCATGCACTGATACACTCTTGTTGGAACTGATGTGAGAATTTTTATTCACACATAAAAAATTTCCAACTCATACAACCTATGAATAGTTTAATTTTATCTAAAAGTTAACATCAATTACCAATTTGGTGTGATATGCTTATGATAAGTTATGATTTGATATATTTAGGGAACAAATTTTTTGTGGTGCTCCACAGGTTTTTCTCAAATATTAATATTCTAATATTTCAGTTTGTTAATAATGTTCACAAAATTCATAAATCAAATTTATCAATTTATGTCGTCTTTTTCAGGAGAACACATGGATCAGAAATTTGATTTTCTGCAATCTGAACCAAAGAAATTCAAGAGAGATAATGATGGATATCCATGTAATGATTGTGAGTACGTATCTTCAAGAGCTGATAATTTGAAGAGACATGTTGAAAGTAAACATGACGGAGTGAAGTATCCTTGCTCTTACTGTGAGTATGCTGCCACTTCGGCAAGTCATCTAAAGAGACATGTTAAAAGTAAACACAAAGTAGTGAGATATCCATGTGCTCATTGTGAATATGCCGCTACTTCAGCAAGTAACCTGAAGATTCATGTTGAAAATAAACATAAAGGAGTAAGATATCCTTGCTCTTACTGTGAGTATGCTGCAACTACGGCAGGTCATCTTAAGAGACATGTTAAAAATAAACACGAAGGAGTAAGATATCCTTGCTCTCAATGTGAGTATGCCGCAACTACAGCAAGTCACCTGAAGAGACATGTTGAAAATAAACATGTAGGAGTGAGATATCCTTGTTCTAAATGTAAATATGCCGCTACTACAGCAAGTAGCCTGAAGAGACATGTTGAAAATAAACATGAAGGAGTGAGATATCCTTGTTCTCAATGTGAATATGCCGCTACTACAGCAAGTTACCTGAAGACACATGTTGAAAATAAACATGAAGGAGTGAGATATCCTTGTTCTCAATGTGAGTATGTTGCAACTCAACAAAGTAACCTGAAAATTCATGTTGAAACTAAACATGAAGCAGTAAGATATCCTTGTCCTGAATGTAAATATGCTGCAACTCAGAAAGGAGCTCTGAAAAAACATTTAGAAAATAAACATATTTGAGTTCAGATATCTTTATTCTGATAATACTGGCAAGGAATTGCATACAAATTTACCATGACTGGGGGCTATCAAACTTTAATTTTTTTTTGGTTTTGAATTTGTGGAAACTTATGTCACATAATTGAAATTTTCTAATGTTAATGTCACAATTGTAAGTTATTTTTGATTTTAATCGTTTGAATTTTTTGTTTCATTTTGAAAACTTATTTAAAATAAATTTTATAGTTGTTTGTTTATAATCTATAATTTGGTGGTATAAACAAAATCGCTTAATTCTTAGAAATCAATGAGTTATCTCTGTTCTGATAATGCTGCCAAAGAATTGCATAAAAAT